TAATGTATAGGGCTACCCCCCTTAGATTGTCTCCCCTGTAGGACGTGTAGTTGTCAAATACAGGTGGGTCGTCGTGACCCGCAAGTAGCGTCTCTTGTAGGCAAAAAACGTCCGGCCGGAATAATGACATTAGTAAATGAAATTGAGAATTTTTATTCCTAGCACCTCTGCAATTCCACTGGATGATATTGAATTTTAAGTCTGAGAGTTGATATGGTCAGCGTTTTGGGTTTTATTTTTCTTTGCTTCACTACATATAACAACATCCATCATCACTGCATATAACATCATCCATCATCACTATATATAACACCATCCATCATCACTACATATAACATCATCCATCATCACTACATATAACATCATCCATCATCACTACATATAACTCCATCCATCATCACTACATATAACATCATCCATCATCACTACATATAACTCCATCCATCATCACTACATATAACATCATCCATCATCACTACATATAACATCATCCATCATCACTGCATATAACACCATCCATCATCACTACATATAACATCATCCATCATCACTACATACAACTCCATCCATCATCACTACATATAACACCATCCATCATCACTACATATAACACCACCCATCATCACTACATGTAACAACATCCATCATCACTACATATAACATCATCCATCATCACTACATATAACACCATCCATCATCACTACATATAACACCATCCATCATCACTACATATAACATCATCCAGCATCACTACATATAACACCATCCATCATCACTACAGATCCGTAAAGTAGTTTCCGAGATTCTTGTGCGGACACACAAACAAACACACCACACACAAACAAACAAACAGACATACTTCTTTGATTTATATAGATAGATAGATTAGGAAACAGTCCTGAACTGTTTAAATAAAATCCTCTGATTCTGAGTTACCTGTAAGGTCGATCCAATCTATTTGGCTAAAGTTAAAGTCGCCTAGTATACAGACATTGCTATGCATGGAAGCCCTGCGCATTTCATCCCAAATAACTCGCTCAACTCTATCAAGATTAGGTCTATATATTACTCCTGCGATAAATTTTTCCCTTTCATCGATTAATTCTATCCAAATTGTCTCTGTATTCAGTTCAGTTTTTTTCCTTATTTATTTCACATTTCAGATTATCCTTGACATATATTGCTAATCCACCTCCTTTCCTAATCTGCCTATCGGTATGGAATAATTTGTAGCCTGCAATTTGGTATTCGGCAGGTAACTCTCGTGAGTCTAAGTTTATCCATGTTTCGGTGAATGTTATTAGGTACTCCGTGATTTATGATCTACTCGACTTACGACCACCCGGACATACGACAGCAGTCGTATAAAATATTTTTAAAATTACGTATTTTCGAGTCCCTACGTTAGTGATCGCGCTGTGTATTTACAAAATTTTCGTTTGTAATTCCCTTTAAAATGGCTAGCAAGCTTAAAAATGAGAGTTCTCGTGGTGCTGAGAAGAAAAAGAGACACCCATTTTAGATTTTCTATCTATTATTTTTGCATTTTCAACTTATGACCAATTCGACTTACGACCTGGTCGTTGGTCCCTAACCCCGTTGTAAGTCGAGGACTGACTATATCGACTTTTTCGATACATACCAATGCCCTAATTTCAGTTAGTCATGTTCCTAGTCCTCTCTTTGACGCGTTTAGGATTTAACTCCCAACCTAGTTTAGCTTTGTCCTCATTCCTAGCACTATTTCCCTGCAACCTTTCACTTTGCTTACCCGCTCCCACTGCAGTCTCCTCCACCTTCGTGCCCATATATTCCCTAGCAGTTTAAAGACTTCGACATCTTTTGAACTGCCCTCTCGAGAAAGCCAGCTAGGGTTGCCACCCCATCCCTAGACAGATGCACCCCATCCCTAGCATAAAGGTCCCTTCTGCCATAAAAGTTGTCCCAATTGTCAATGAATGGAACTGATATTGACTTGCAATATCTGTCAAGACGGCCGTTGACACAAACTGCCCTTGACAACCATTCATTGCCAACCCTCCTTCTAGGCAGGACACCACATATGATAGGGATCCCTCCCTTCAACCTAATACGTTCAATAGCTGTCTTGGATTTATCAAGGAGCTCCTCACTCCTACACCGGCCAATATCATTGTCTCCTGCACTGAGGCAGATAACGGGTTTGGTCTCATTACCAGACAAGATATTGTCCACTCTGTCAACTATATCCCCCACCCCAGCTTCTGGCAAACACATCCTCATCCTATTTTTATTTTTACCACAAAAAGCTCTATCCAGGTACCGTACCTGGGAATCTCCAAAAATTAAGGTTTTCGTACCTTCCTTGTCAGCGACTCCCAGGTACTGTACCTGGAAATCGAACTGCTTGTATTTGTCCAGTCGCCAGAATCATCGTGAATACACCTTACTATAGTGGTGAGGTAGATTGTAAGGTGTATGAAGGATGCCATTTGTCACCCCATCATAGGGAACATCCGGGGTGCGACACAGAATCAGACTTCACTCGGGCAGATGGGGTAATGTTGCTGAGAAATCCTGTAACGAGGAAGAATCTTCACTTGGGGAACTTCACAACACCTTTTCTACCTCCTATGAAGACCCATTCCTCGACATGATGGTAACTGATGCTCACTTTGGAGGAGCAGTAATGACACGGTCACAAGGGCGGAAATGGAAACAACCAATGCTCCCCCTTAAAGTTCTATTAGAAGGAGAGGGACCTGAATGTATCATTACCACTGAGGAACAGGAATCGGACGAAAGTTTACAAGGATTGTCACTGTACGCCAACACCATTCTCAGGACGGTAACTTACACCTTGTTAAAGAAGGGGAACTTTGGTATAGGATACATAACAAATATAGTAGTGAGGTAAAGCAGTTGGTGCCTTTTCAGCGTAGAAAGAAAATTCTCACGCTAGCTCATGAAGGTCTAATGGGAGGTCATATGGGGAGTAAGAAAACTGAGGACAGGATATTTTCTAGGTTCTACTGGCCAGAGGTAGTAGCCGATGTCAAGAAAGGGTGTAAAACTTGTGATGTTTGTCAAAGGACTATACCCAAGGGAAACGTTAGTAAAGTCCAATTAGTATCCATACAACTGATAACCACTCCATTTCAAACTGTTGCTGTTGATATAGTAGGTCCCTTTCATCCAGAATCTTCACGAGGCAATCGTTACATTATACCTTTTGTAGATAACTCTACAAGGTGACTTGAGGCAGAACCTTTGCCAGACATCACAACGGAGAGGGTAGCTGAAGCACTTATGGGGATATTTTCGAGATTGGGATTCCTGCAGATCTTAAGTGACAGAAGCTCACAGTTTACGTCGGCTTTAATATATGAGGTATGTCGCTTAATAAGTGCCAAGCAGGCCTTTACCACTCCCTATCATCCTATCGCTAACGGTCTCAATGAGAGATTCAATGGTACCCTAAAGTCTATAATTAAGAAGATGTGTCAAGAACGTCCTACTGACTGGGATAGATTCTGAGGTAGTAGGTAGTAGGCAGCTACCAAACAGGGAGGTACTTCCGCCTGGGAAGAAATTGGAAGCATAATGTATTGTCTAATGGTAGACCCTGCTGCCATATGGCATCACAAAATTTGTGACCAAGTCCCATGTTGCTGATCTGACTTTCTGCCCCATTTACACACAATTGCAGGGTCTCAATTGTTTCTCTTACAATTGACAACGCAACATATATACAGTATATAATTTCTCACTATTGATCTTTTTTACATTTTTATATTTCTTTATTATTATTATTATTATTATTATTATTATTATTATTATTATTATTATTGGTAGTAGTATTAGTATTATTATTATTATTACAGTGTTGTTATTATTATCATTAATATTTTATTTTTTATTTTTCAAATTTGTATTAATGTATGTATTATTAATTATATTTATTATGAATTATTATTATTATTATTATTATTATTATTATTATTATTATTATTATTATTACATTTTCGCTCCCCAGGCCCGATGTGGGTTAGTGACCTGTGCCAGGGTGGGCTAATCCCCGCAAAAAAAAAAAAATAAAAAAACTTACCTGCTGTGTTGTTTGCTTATAGGCAGGTTCCTCAGGCTAGCACAGGCTTCTCATCTCTCGAACTGTTGTATGGACGTAATGTAAATGGTCCTCTTATTATATTGAAGAAGTTGTGGATCGGTAAAGAACAAAATCAAGAAATACATAACACCAATACCTGTGTGAGGGAATTAAGGAACATACTATAGGAAGTTTGTCAACTTGCACATGAAAATTTGAATAACTCTAATAAAATTAAAAAAGCACCATTAAGAAAGGAAAGCTAGACAACGTACATTTGAAACAGGGGATAAAGTACTTATACAGTTACCAACTGATACCAACAAGTTGTTAACCAATGTGACTACAGAGATATGCTAGGAGATGGCAAATGTAAGGTGTTCCTTGCCAACCTTCTAAGGAAATGTGAGGTGCGTGTTGAAATTGTAGCCATTTCAGTTATTTCATACAGTTATATAGATGATGATGACGAATTGTTACAGTTGTCAGAGGTAAAGGGAACGGAATCTTTAACAGATGTAAGACAATATACAGGTACAGTACTGCATCATTGTAGTGCATATTTTGACTCAAGTTCAGGACTAATAATCTGAGAATCTTTAGTAAAATTTCTTATCCTAGAATTGGATTTGTAAATATAGTTATGTTGTATGTTTTTCGGAACAAATAAAAAAAAAAAAACAGAAAACCGAGCATGTGGAGAATATCAATGAATAGGGGAGGTCGTGTTCTCGACATCTCTGTAAACACGTTTTTGAGAATGTGGAGTCTGTAGAAGGATGCCCACGAGACATATTGTACAATATTCGCTTAATGATTTATCGTTAGTTTGTAGGATATTTGTAACTTGAAACCAGGGAAAAAGTGAGCTGGTAAACGGCTAACATGCTCTCTCTTTGTCTGTCATTCACAGCGGGGTTCTTCACAGCATACGCAGTGTTAATGCTGGTGGTGGCGTTGCCCCTCTGTGTTCTCGAGCAAATTCTAGCACAGTTTTCCTCCCTCGGCGTCATCACCATCTTCCGGTGCCTCCCTCTCCTCACAGGTCAGTGCCTCTCCTCACAGGTCAGTGCCTCTCCTCACAGGTCACTGGTGTGTTGTGTCAAGGCTTGATGGTGACATGGTAAACAAGAGATCCAGGATGATGA